GATGAGTAGCCTCTTGGTTATTTCTTTGTACATATACCATCATCTACCTAAAAAAGCAAGAATGAACACCGAATCTTCTCCCGTGCCTTCTGGAGGCCTTTGAAATGCTACCGTGGCCCAATGAGCATTTTGTAAAAAATTTTTTAGCATATAGTAACCATACATAAAAATGAGTTTTGGGTTGGAGAGATGGCTCAGTGGTTAAGAGCTCTGACAGCTCTTCCAGAGGACCTGGATTCAATTCCCAGCAACCACATGGCAGCTAATAACTGTAACTCCAGTTCCAGAGGATCTGGCAGCCTCATACAGACATTCATGCAGGCAAAATAATAGCAACGCAATGAAATAAATAAATCTTAAAAATTGAAAAAAGTTTAAAGGAGAAAATGAGTTTCATTTGACCCGTGCATACATGTACACATGTTACTGGTCCCCCTCACACTCTGCTGATCTCCTTTTCTCAACTAACCTCCCTTCTTTGGGTGTTTTTTAAACAATTACTTACTTTAGAGTTTGGGGGTGTGTGCACCATGGAGCACTCTGTGGAGAACAACTTACTGGAGTCTGTTTTCTTTCTCTTCTACCACGTGGGTCTCTAGGGTAAACTTAAGTCAGCGTTTTTACCCACTGAGCCATCTTGTCCCCCTTCCCTCTTTAAGGATGCAATGAATTTCTTTATGATTGTTTACAGGAACATGACTCCTTTGCAGTTGTTATGCCACTCAAGAAACTCTCTCTTCTTCATCAAACGTGAACTTCCAGTAAATCCTCAGGGAGGAATGGGATCTTATCAGTCCCTTTGCTGACCATTTTCCTCCCTCCCTCCTCACCCCTCCTTCCCTCCTTCCTCTCTTCCTCCTCTCTCCCCTCCCTCCCTTCTTTTTTTTTTTTTTTCAAGACAGGGTTTCTCTGTAGCTCTTTGGCTGTCCTGGAATTCTCTTTGTCGACCAGGCTGGCCTCAAACTCACAAAGATCTGCCTGCCTCTGCCTCCCAAGTGCTAGGATTAAAGGCGTGCACCACCATCCACCATGCCTGGCTCAGCATTTTCTAAATTGATTTATTGAAGTGGTGAAAAGCCCATTTGCCCGCCTCCTTACCGTTTATATATCTCTGTATAGACTGCTGCCAGGTTTATTACCAATCTATTTTAAAAGTCCCCTAACTTCTGCCTCTTTTCTTATTTTGTCTCTCCTTTTTTGAAATAAAAAGTTTCACTACTATTATTTTACTTCCTGAGTATGAGTATGGGTGTTTTGCCTATATATGTCTGGGCACCAAATGCGTGCAGTGCCCTTGGAAGTCAGAAGTGAGTAACTGGGGTTTCAGACAGTTGTGAGCAGCCATGTAGATGCTGGGAATTGAACTCAGGACCTCCGGAAGAGCAGCCAGGGCTCTTAACCTCTGGGCCATCTCTCCAGCCTCCTTATTTTCATTAGGTTTTAGTTGTTTTTTTCTAAGTCCTTTACTAAATGTTTAGTCAGATGTTGGAACAACCTGAATGGAATCCTGCTTTTGTGACCAGAAGGTGAGTAAACCTCTACTGAATGAACTGCTTTCTGTTTTGTTAGCTTTCCTCTGGGAGGGGCAGAGGCTGGAGGAGGCTGACCTTCTTATGTGGCATCTTGGGAACAGATGGCTTAGCTGGGTTACTCTTGCTTTGGAAGCTAGAGGCGAATAACAATGGCATCTGGGATGGGATCAGTTAAATTTAAGGAGCTGAGTTTTCTCAAGGATGAAGCCGTGGCGGCCCCCTCTAAATGTCACCTCTGACTGCTGCTCTCTGCAGACACTCAGCAGCCCTGCGTGAACTAAAGGGCCTGACATCCCTAGATCAGTTCTCTGACCTATTAAAACAGGAGGTTTCTGACGATTTCTTTGGTGTGGCCTGCTTATTCAAACTCAGGTCCCACACTCTCCAGTGTAAAATCTCCCCAGGGGCTTAGACTGTAGACCATCAATGCTGTTTCCACCAGCTTGGTCAAGTCTCTGGCATTTTTGTGTCTTAGTCGTTTTTTTTCTCCCAGAATACAAGAATAGTGTAAGAATGAAGTAGCCTAATGTATGACATAGAGGCAATTTTCTAAATATTTAGTAGGGTCATTGGCGGAGTAGAAGAGGCACAAGATTATAATACTGGAGAGGCGTCCTAAAGACCCTTTTGTGCTTTTAGCTTTTCAAGGCAGGGCACACAGAAGCCTCTCGCAGAAGGCATCAAAGATCTCTAAGAGAGTCCAGGGAATTGGCTGTTTGCCAGTATGCATGAGCGAATTTCAGTTTATCAGCTGACAGCTATCATGGAGAAAGCTGGGAGCGTGACACACCAGAAGCAGAGAACTGACAAACTCGATCACTTCTGTTACCGTTACTATTGTCATTATTTGTTTTCATTTTCCAGTCAGAGTTTCACGTGGTCCAGGCTGGCCTCCAGCTCCCTATGCAGCTGATGATATTTAGCCGTTGATATCGATATTGTCAGCTTGACAGGTTTACAGTCACCAAGGAAATAAATCTCTGGGCGTGCCTGAGAGGAATTTGTATTTATTTGTTAGACTGGGTTAATTGAGGTGGAAGACCCACCCTAACTATGGGCGGCACCATCCTTTGCGCTGGGCGGGGTCTTGGATTTAATGAAAGGAGAAAATCAACTGAACACCAGTATTCATCCTTCTCGGTTTCCTGAGTGCAGATGCAATGTCGTCTCCTGCCACCCCACCGTGCCTTCCTCACCACGGTGGGCTGTACCCCCGGAATGTGAGTCAAAATAAACCCCTCCTTCCTTACGACGCCACCAAGAGAACACTAACGATGATCTTGACGTTTCGATATTCCTGCCTCTACTTGCTGAGCGATGTGGCTGCAGGTGTTTGCTATCAAGCTGGAGTCCTGCGTCCTCATCAGCACCCAGGCCATCCTCAGATGAGAGCAAAAGCTGGCGGGTAGAGACAGGCATACTAATGATATGGCAGTAATATTACTACTGTTAAATAATGAACAGGGATGGGAGGTTGATCGGTTGGATGTGGCCTGGCCAACCTCCTTTTTGTCAGAGCCATTTCCTGTGCAGTCTGCGGTTTCTTCCACCTTTGTTCCAAATTGCCGTTCCCTGGCCTCGCTTTCCTCCCTGTCGAGGACCACATTAACCAGCCTGCTTTGCGGCTTCTGACGTACTGGGGTAGCCTGCAGAACCTGCTCTTCGGCCTCGGAACCGGAAAACCCTACTTTGATGGCTTCTCTCTGCTGTTCCTAAGTCTTCAGTGGTTCTCTATGAACTGATACCCCATCCACATTGCCAACTTCTTCGAGTACTCTTTTTTTCACACTCCATGGTTTAGACTCATGGACTTCTTCTCCAAGCCTGTCAGGTTACTTCTTCCTAGTTTCTTCTATTTGCACGGCTTCCTCTCCTCCGTCTTTAACCAGCCCAGCTTCCCCACATGTCTTGAAAACGCCCTGAAAGTTTCCAGCCTTTGCTATTCCTGCTCCCTGTGTGGAATGCCTTCCTCCACCCTGCTGACGTTTTTTTCCTTTCTCTAAAGGACTTGTGACTACATCCTCCGTAGACTTTTTTTTTTTACCCCTCCCAGGTTTAGCAATTTGCATTTATTCAAGAACCCTATACTCTTTTTGTGATGTTCTGTGTGAGTTCCACAATTTATCAGAGGATCTCAGAGGAGGTTTCGTCAGAGGACGCCGCTCTTGTGAGCTCTGTGGAGAAGTGCAGGGCTACTTGAAGGAGGGCTTTTCACCGCTGATGAAACGAAGAGGGTACGGAAGGCAAAAGAAGCCAGCAAGAGTCTGATTAAGTAATTTGTGCCAGGACAAGCTTAAAGGAAACAGGAACGAGAGGAGAGAACGCATCTGCAAACTATCTAGAGGAGCAAAACAGCGGGATCTGCTTCAACAGATGACAGAGGAGAGCCAGAAATAAGTTCCGAGGTTTCTGGTCCGCTGAAGATGGGAAGATTGGTGGAGAACTGGGAATGTGGATGCAAGACAGTTTTGTTTGTACTTGAGAAAGATGGATAGACAATTACGAGTTGAGGATACGGAGTTATGAGTCTTCAGGGGGAAGGGCATTAAATGAAGGGATAGTTAAGACTGCATTAAGAAGCTGGATGGTGGTGCTGCACGCCTTTAATCTCAGCATTCAGGAGTCAAGAGGCAGGCGGATCTCTGTTAGTTCGAGGCCAGCCTGGTCTACAGAGCGAGTCCCAGGACAGCCTCCAAAGCTACAGAAAAACCCTGTCTCAAAAAACAAACAAACAAAAAAACCAACAATACAAAACCAACCAACCAAACAAACAAACAACCCCCCAAAAACAACAACATAAAAAGACTGCATAAAGAGCATCCAAGGACTGCTGCCAAGGAGAGAAACAGGAGAGAGTAGGATGAAGCTGGAGGCAGAGATCATGGCGTCGTGGAAATCACCGAGACAGAGCTGAAGGCTGGATGATGTGAATCATCTACTACCCGTGACGAGTGAAGAACCGCAAGCAATGGAGACATAGCAGAGCCTGGGAGGGGATGGAGACCTGTGTGGAGAGGGGCTTTAGTGTGGTGGAAACCAACCTGTGGGCAAGTGGCAGCAAGAAACAGCCCAGAGAGAAAATGGTTCAGTAAGAGACCCCTGTTAGTAGAAACCCGTGGTTTAAATCAAAGAGGACTGAGTGTGAACTCTCTGAAGATGTCTATGTGGACATACATTGACTTCCACTTCTTAGCATAGAACAGATATCATTGAGGCGACCTGGGATACTTGTTGAGCCCTGGCCTCTGCACCCCTTGTTTGAATCAGACATTAGCTGGGAATTGAACTCAGGTCTCCTTCAAGAGTTGCAAGTGCTCTTAACCATTGAGCCATCTCTGTGGCCCTAAAGTATCTTTTTTTCTTTTTCTTTTTTTCATTTTCTTTGAATTTGTTTTAAATATTAACTATAAACTTTTTTTTTTTTGAGACAGGATATCACTGTAAGGGCCTGGCTGTCCTGGAACTCACCATGTTGACCAAGCAGACCTCAAATTCACAGAAATTCAACTGCCTCTGCCTCCTGAGTGATGGGATTAAATGTGTGTGCCAGTAAGCCCAACCTCACTTTCTCCTTTTCATACAGCCTAGGGGATAGTGCTATCTGTAATGGAACACTTGAGTCTTCCAAACTCAACTGACCTAATCAAGACAATCTCCTACGGCACCCCTGGAGGTTGTTCTAGGTAACTCTAGTTTTCATCCAGTTGACAATGACGATCAATCCTCACAATTGTAAGGGTGGAGGGAGATCACCTATATTGAGAACACATGATAAAGTGTTCAATAAACTAATGTCATCTTTTACTGTCATGAGGACATGCTGCTAAAGTCGCGACCTCAAGAGCTCCCTGATGCTGTTAGTCAGGTGTCCTTTGTGCCTGTCTGTTGCTAGCTACGACTTCTCAGGTTTAATAAAATGCAGATTTCCCAGGTGAGTTTGAATTTCAAATAATACACAAATATCTTTTAGCTAGCATAAGCATTCCCTATGTACTGTGTGGGAAATGTTTACTCTAAAGTTTTATGTGTTATTTACATGAAATTTAAATTCAGGCGGGTGTTTCGTGTTCTTTCTGTCAATCCTAGCAGCCTAGTAGCTGAGTGACCTTACAAAAGTTTCTTCTCTGTGTCTCAGTTTCCCCATTAGCTAAGTGGGGGATGAGAGAATTTTTATAAGCACTTAGAATGGTGGCTGGTGCATAGCAGGGGTTCTATGCAATATAATAGCCGATATCATTCAGATGGGGCCACGCCTGGGGGTACATTCTGGAATCATAATAGTGGAGACTGAAGAAATGTTTAAAATGACATTATCATTACCGTGCATTTGGCGTTGCCTTTGGTACTGTCTTTGAAAAGGCAATATCATGTGGAAATAAAGAGACTCCATCCTCCTAAATGCTGCTTTTGACTTTAATAATTTTTACTCTCCCATAAATTCTTATGACAGGATTGACAACCGTCATGGAAAATTCAATTCTCACTCTTGTCTATTTTTGCAGTTTTGCCCTCTGGAGCAATGCCGAGCTGGAGCTGAAACAAATGAAATTGCCTAGTTCACCCCCCTTTTTTTTTGCACAGTGGCAAAAGTCTTTCCGGAGAGAGTTTTTCCCCCCCCCCCCCAGAAGTTTTAAATCAGCTCAAAACTGTTTCTGAATCATAGGCCTTTGGCAGTGGGAACACTTTAGACAAGGAACGCTGAGTTTGAGCTGTCACTACAGTTCTGATGGGGGAATTGTACTTAGTACTTAATTTGAGATTTGGAGATAGATACTGCCACTGTTGTAAGTTAGTATTCAGTATCTTTGTTGTATGTATCTTGCATCTGAGTCTACTTCTTAAGTCAATGAGTCTACAAACTCTAGATCTGAGAAGGCGGTTTAACTAAAGTGATATCTCCTGTATTTGAAGTATTAGTCAGTTTGTGTAGCCAACACAGACTACCACAGATGAATAACTTGTAGTTACCTGGAATGTATTGGCTCACAGTTCCATAGAATGGAAAATCTAGGATCCAAGGCGCCAGCATGTGGTGAGGGTCTTCCTGCTGTATGATCAGGTTTCCTCATGGACCAGTCATCACTCAAAGGTTCCCCTTTGTCCTAGTTGGGGTGACTGACTGTTGCTGTGATGAAACACCATGACCAAAGCATCTTGTGGAGAAAAGAGTTGAATTGTCTTAGGCTTCCACATCTCAGTCCATCACTGAAGGAAGCCAGGACAGGAACTCAAACAGGGCAGGAACCTGGAGGCAGGAGCTGATGCAGAGGCCATGGAGGGATGCTGCTTACTGACTTGCTCTCCATGGCTTGCTCAGCCTCCTTTCTTACAGAACCCAGGGATGGCTCCACCCACAATGGGTCCTCCCATATCAATTACTAATTAAGAAAGTACCCTCTAGGCTTGCCTGCAATCTGATGTTATGGAAGTATTTTCTCAATTGAGGCTTCCTCTTCTCCAGTTACAGTAGCTTGTGTCAAATTGACATAAAACTAGCCAGTACATCTCTCTAAAACTGTCACAGTGCTAATAAATGTCAATATGAGTTTTAAAGTAAGTTTAGACCACAGCATGAAGTACCCCTCCAGCTCCTCGTTCCTCTTAAAACTCTATTTATGTTATTTATTGTGTATATAGCCTTCTACCTGCAGGGCAGCAGAGGGCACCAGATCTTATTCAAGGTGGTTGTGAGCCACCATGTGGTTCCAGGAATTGAACTCAGGACCTCTGGAAGAACAGTCAGTGCTCTTAACTGCTGAGCCATCTCTCCAGCCCTTAAAACTCTATTGATCAAAGTTCTGCCCATATTCAGATTCTAGTAAGTTCCTAGAGCCTATCTTAGAGGACTGAATAATATTTATGAGAACATATGTCAGTCTCTCTTTAGACAGCTGCCTTAGCATACCTGGGGGGGGGTGCTAGACACTATCTGTAATTTATCTGTGAATTTCCATAATGCCTTAAAGTCAATAGGTTGCTCAGTAAGTGTTCGTGGTATCTGAGTACTTGATACCACTTTGATGCCTCCCCCCCAAATAATTCATGTTTTAAACAAATAACCTTTGCAATTGAATCTGGAAGAGTTTCCTTCTCTGGAGTGGGTGAATTTCAAATAATGGAAAAAATAAGGATTAAAAAAATCCCACCAATATTATAGTGTTTATATTTTCAGGTTTCACAGCTAAAATGAGTTTGTTGAAGCATGAGCAATTCCCAGTGGACACAGGAAGCAAGCAATTTTGTACAAATGTTGGAGGTAGTAGAGATAGTAGCCTACCCCTCCAACCATGAGGAGAATTCTGGCTGTGACATGGACAAGGACTGGCCGGAGAAACCAAGAAAGCATCAAAGATTGGCCCTCAGCTGGTTGGTGGTCCCAGGTTTGTGCACTGTTTTTTTTTTGTTTGTTTGTTTTTGTTTTTTGGTGTGTGTGTGTGTGTGTGTGTGTGTGTGTGTGTGTGTGTGTGTGTGTCTTACCACCCAGTGTTCTGTCCTGTCCTGGCCTATGCCCTAGGCTGACCTCTCCAATACTGTCTTAACTGCTGGCTATCTTCCATGTGAGTTTGGCTAGCAGAGTCTGGGGGGCATGTTCTATTTTTAATCTGCCACTCTGGAAATAGCTGGGGTTTGGTGCCTTTTCCCTGGCAGATTCAGCTGGCATGACCTGGGCATGGTTAATGGTTTCTCAGTGTTCCGGCTTAGTCATTGGGTTCTTTGGTCTCTCATATCTGCAAGTCCTGTGGTAAATTTTTCTTCTCAAGTGTCTTGTGTAAATGTCCTGGTGCCAAGGCTTTAAGATCAATCCATCTAAAGCAAAGACTCAAAGCTTTTTAAGCAAAGGTTTAATAGCTGCTCAGTAGTCCTTCCTAGGACACCGGCATCCTCAACCCTTAGGATCCAGGGACAGGGTCACATAGAAGAAAACCTCTATCACTGGAGCTGATCACAGTCAAGTGCTATGATTGCAGGTTCTTCCAGGAAAATTGGCTGGGCAGAAATGTGATAACATGTCTTAATCGGTAGAACAGAGACCAATTGTGATAGGGCCGGGAATTTTCCACCACAGAGATATTGAGTGTGGGCAGCTCAGTCGGTAGGGTATTTGCTCAGCATACATGAAGCCCTGGATTTCACCCACAGTCTCTGCATAAAACTGGACATGGTGGCATTGGTGTAAGACTCTCTGTAGTTCCAGAGAGGTAGAAGCAGGGAATTGGGAGTTCTGGGTCATCCTTGACTTTGTAGCCAGTTTGAAGTCACCCTGGGCTACATGAGAGCTTGTCTCTAAACACAAGCTCAAACTAAGAGAGGGAAGAAGAGTCCAAGAAGTCGGGGAGGAATAGCAGTGGAGTCTCAGAAAGGGACAACTTTCTTGATTTTTTTTTCCAGTTGAGGGACTATTTTCCTTCTCAGCTCTTGTTGGGGGATCCTAAAACACCAAGACCTGCTTGTGTCAGTGGGTGTTGATTTCCTCTGGCTTCTCTCATTGCCCCGATATCTGTCCAGAAGAATGAGAAACAGCAATTCCAACTGTGGATAAACTACATAACATTCCGTCTTTGCCACATTAAGGTAACCCCTGTATCTTCGTTGACCTTGCAGATGCCTGGGCACACACTGGCACATACACAGGCAGACACAGATAGACATGCAGACTGGCACACAGGTCCAATGAAGAAAGCAAAAGATGGCGGCAAAGAGGCACCTGCCTCTGATTTCCAGGGCATATTTATACACAGCCCACCCCAAAGTGGCAATTTATTGGGAGCAGTTATACACTGGATCACACCCCTGCTTTACTAAGGGTTCTCTAGATACCCAGTGGTAGCCATCTTTTTGGCTGACTGGATGTCCACATCTGTGCCAAGATGTTTAATCCTTACTTGGCACTTAGGATCTTCTGTTCTCCTAAAGCTTGACTGATAGAAAAGACCTATCCAGTGTCCAGAACTTGAGGGACTTGGCCCCAGTGATGAAGACAAGGACCACATAGTATATGCAATAATAATGTACTTGGTTGGACCAGATAGAATATTTCTAGCAGATTTTAGCCATCATCATCATAATCATCATCATCATCATCATAAATAATAATAATAATAATAATAATAATAATAATGCAGAAATAGCTGGCTCATTTGCTGTACCCCCAAAGTCACACATGAAGAAGAGGTAGCTGGATGCTGAGATGGTTCAGTGGGTGAAAAAGAGACAGAGGAAGTACCACCCCTGGATTCAGATGTTCTCTAGATAGGGAGGAAGGAGGCGTTGTCTCCTAAAGAACCAGTGTATAACAACCTACAGAATGGCCGTCACTTACCGGTGGGATGTGAACTTTGGGTTCAGCCCAAACTTTTGGGACTCTGGAGGTTATATCCCAATGCCTGGCAAGTAGCAATGAGGGCTTCAAAGGCCGGGGGTGAATGGAGTCAATAGAGTAGATCCCACAGGAACCCATGCTGGCAAACTTCTTTGGGAACAAGGTCATGGAGAGCATGTGGCTTCCTTCCAGTGTCCTGGAGACTGGTTTATGTATCTAGTCTGTGAGGAAGAATGTCATAGGACATGCCATTTCTAAGGGCCTGGTGGTTCATAGTCAAGATAGACTCTGTTCCCTTCAGTGTTCATCGTTGTACTTGAAAGCAAAACTTTAGTCTTTCCTGTTAATGGATATCAACATCTGGTTTGTAATTCTGCCACCAGAAGGTACACATTTGGATACTGAAAAGGAAAAGAATCTGTTGTTTGGAAATAATAGTGTAATTCCTGTAGAGTGGTTTTTTTTGTGACCCTTGTGTGTATGGGAATACAGTGCATATGTTGCATATTGCATATGTGGAGATCAGAGGACAGTGTGCAGGAATTAGTTCTCTCCACCCTATCGGTTCCGGAGATCGAATTCAGGTTGTTAGGCTTCTCGGCAAGCACATTTATCCACTGAGCCATTTTATAGGCCCATTTGTGTGTGTGTGTGTGGGGGGGGGGAGGATTTTTTTCTCAGTATATGTTTTTATTTAAATTAGAACATGCATGTTTCACATGTCAATCCCAGCTCCCTCTCCCACCCCTCCTCACTTGTCCCTTCACCAGCCCCCCCAGTCCTCCACCCAATCCCCACACCATTCCCCAGAGAGGGTGAGGCCCTCCTTGAGGGGGATCTCCGGAGTCTGTCATTTCATCCAGGGCAAGACCTAGGCCCTTCCCCATGTGTCCAGGCTAAGAGAGCATCCCTCCATGTGGGATGGGCTCCCAAAGTTCATTTGTACGCCATGGTAAACACTGATCTACTACCCAAGGCCCCAGAGATTTCTGAGGCCTCCTCACTGACACTACATTCATGGAGTCTGGATCAGTCCCCTGCTGGCTTCTCAGCCATCAGTCTGTGGTTCAAGAGCTCCCCCTTGTCTTGTGTGTGTGATTTAAAAAATAATAATGGACTGACCAACTATCTCATCACATACTGAATGGAAACAGGCAGAGAATGGTAGAGAAGATGCCTGACACCTTTCCTGTCCTGTGTGTATGCACCTGTGCACATACATGCACATAATCACACATGGGTATGAACAGACAAACAAGCCTTAAGGAATAAAATCGTAGTATCTGTGCACCTAAACTTGAAAACAAACCTTCCTTCCTCCCTCCCTCCCTTCCTTTCCCCCTCCTTCCTTTGCTCCCTCCCTCTCTCCTTCCCCTGTGTGTACGTGTGTGGGTGTACATGCCATGTGCATGTGTGACAGTCAGAGGATGACTTTTCACTATGTAGATTCTGAGGACAGAATCAGGTTGTCTGGATTGGCGGCGAGTGCTGTTACCTGTGGAACCGTCTCCCATTCCCATTCCCCCCAGCCCCTAAGATCTGGGTCTCATGTAGTCCAGGCTGGCCTTGAATTTAATATGTAATTGAAGATGATCTTGAAATTTGGACCCTCCTGCCTCAGCTCGTCTTCCACGCCTCCTGCCCCAGGGCTGGGACTATAAGGTGCATCCTTAGTCTGGTTTTGCACCACACCTGGTTTATTCAGTACCGGGACGGGAACCCATGGCTTTGTGCATACCAGGCAAACACTCTACCACCTGAGCCGTCCGCGTCCCCAGCCACTCTGGCTCTTTTCTTTTGCCGGCTGAGCCACATCACCAGCCCCAGTTACAAAAGTTTCTAGCCCGTGAAGTAATTGTTCAGATGAACACTTTCACAAATCATATGAGTCAGTGTGTTAAAAATACGCATCGAGGGGGTGGAACGATGGCTCAGTGGTTAAGAGCACTTGCTGCTCTTTCAGAGAATCCGAGTTCAGTTCTGAGCACCCATGTCAGGTGGCTCATGTCATCTGTAACTCCAGCTCTGGGGAATTTGACCCGTCTTCTGAATTCTAGAGGCACCTACACTCACACGTACATACCCTATACAGGAACACATACATATACATAAATGAAAATACGTATTTTAAAGGTAGGTATGCCATTTTCAATTGGTTTGAGGTGACTGAGAGACATAAAGATGAAAATTTACAACCCTTCCCCAAAACAAACAAAAAACTGATTTAAAGCTGGGCAGTGGTGGCTCACACCTTTAATCCCAGTACTCAAGAGGCAGATCTCTGTGAGTTCAAGGCCAGCCTGATATACAAAGTGAGTTCCAGGACAGCCAGAGCTGTTACACAGAGAAACCCTGTCTCAAAACAATAACAACAACAAAAACAAACAAGCAAAACCCCCAAAAACAAAAAATTAAAAAAAGATGAAAATTTACTAAGAAAATTTTATAAGTGGTGTTTTCATGTTTGGCGTATGGAGTTGGAAAGTAAGACAGGGTCTCCAGTAGTGCCATCCTTACATTCTGCTCTGCTATGTGAAATACAAAAAGCAAGTGTTGACGTGAAATAACATGAGGAGCATACTATTCTCCACTGAACATTTTATCAAGGATTTCACTAACCAAACCGGTGACTCATTGGTTTCACTACATAATACAGCGTTATATTGTTTAATCTGGGTACATAACTGTTTTTAGAGACTTGTTACTTTGATTTTAGTGGTGTTTATGTGTGTGCTTGTGTGGGGCTGTGCACCTAAGTGCAGGTGCCTGTGGCAGCCAGAAGATGACAATGGGTTTTCTAGAACTGGAGTTACAGGTGGTTGTCAACTGCCTTATGGAGGTGCTGGGAACCAAACTCCAGTACATGGGCACCAGTCCACCTGCCTTCAGTGTAAGTTTCTTTCTTTTCCTTTCCTCCCTCCCTCCCTCCCTCCCTCCCTCCCTCCCTCCCTCCCTCCCTCCCTCCCTGCCTCCCTCCCTGTCTCCCTCCCTGCCTCCCTCCCTCCCTCCCTCCCTGCCTCCCTCCCTCCCTCCCTGCCTCCCTCCCTCCCTCCCTCCCTCCCTCCTTTCTTTCTTTCTTTCTTTCTTTCTTTCTTTCTTTCTTTCTTTCTTTCTTTCTTCTTTCTTTCTTTTTTTGAGGCAGTGTTTCTCTGGCATTGGAGGCTGTCCTGGAACTAGCTCTTGTAGACCAGACTGGTCTCAAACTCCCAGAGATCCGCCTGCCCCTGCCTCATGAGTGCTAGGGTTAAAGGTGTGCGCCACCACCGCCCAGCTGGATTTCCATATTTTTTGTATGGTTTCTTTTCTTTCTCTCTACCATCCATGTGTAGTTAAATAAAGGCCTACATTTTGCATAGAGAGAAATACTTTTTAGTGACCTGGATAGAAGGCTTGACGAAGAGAGAAGATGTGGAGAGGCAAATAGCCATGAGTGAGGTGTGGGAGCTGCTGGGGAAGCAGAGAGAATGGGATGGATCCCCGTGGTTGCCGAGGTTACTCAGCGGAATGCGAACCACAGCTTTATTTTCACGGAGTGGGCTCAGAAACCAGGTGGAAAAGTAGTTTCTGGCAAAGCCAGCGCCCAGTCTCTTAGAGGTGCAATTTCCTTCTTGTAAGATAAAAGGAATGAATTGTGAGGGCTTAAAAATAACATAAAGGGGCTAAGCGGGTGTGACTGGCTTAGCTGACCAAGTGTTTCTGTGTGAGTCTGTGGATCTGATTTCTGTCCCCACTCCCGTGTGTGTAGTATGTGTTTGTAATCACTTATCTGGGAAGGCAGATACTGATGGGTATCTGAGGCTTGCCAATGAGCCATCTCAGCTAATTTCCACGTTCTAGGCCGGTGAGAGGCCTCGTCTCAAAAGAAAAAAGCAAAGGTGAATGGACCCGAGGAGTAACACTCAAGGTCTTCTGGTTTTCACATGCACACACAGTCACGCACACATACATATAGGCACACACGTGGAAACTGCTGAGTTCTATACTGCATTGGTCCTTAAAAATGACAGTATTGGTAGTGTTTGTGACAGAGGACTTTCTTGTCTCACGAGGCATGGCTCCTGACAGCTGTGAGACCTAAAGAGCACAGAACCTCCTAGATCAGCCCGTGATTGTGAAAAAAAGGTCTTTTGGGTCCCACCAGGGGAGGATGTTTGGGGCGCTGGTCATTCCATGTCCTGATTGCATTAGTGATGGAGTAACTACACTTTGACTTCCAGAGCCCACTTGCATTTGAAGGCTGGTTCATGTCTGTGTGTCTCTCTCCCCAGCTCTGGATGGACTCACCCATTCTGACCACTTTCTGTGTTTTAGAAAACACAGCCTGATGATACCTAGCACACAACAAAGATCCCCCAGATGTCAGTGTGAGAGATGCCTGGGCTAGCCTCCCTTTCTTCAGGGGGACCATCTCCACACTTACCTAACTATAGGGGGTGGGGCCAAGAGCACTGCACGTGGGTTGTGACGTGGTGGACATCCTTTCTACCGGTGTACCTTGTGAAGACACTGGGCTCAGTCATAGCATTTCAGCCATGTGAAATCAGAAGTGGTTAGAAGGCTTAGCTATTTAGGAGCCAGCAGACATCCTTGTACAATAGTTCCTCTGTGTGGTTATGTGGCAGCAGTAATAAAATCTAACTCTGTTCTTTCTGGCTTAGAAGGGGCAATGAGTTGCTGGCCTAAGTGATAGGGGAGAATTAATCGACTGTCTTTGTGGTTTCAGTCCCTAAACTCTGGTGTCCTTCAAGGTACAATACGATCCAGGCTGAGATCCCAAACCAGACATGGATCTGTGTCATGCAGTCTACACCCCCCTCCCATTCAGTGCCAATTATTCATTCCTCCCAACCAACCAAAACAAACCAAAACATACAAAACCACAGACAGGGAGTAGTGTGATAAAGAGCCTTGACTGAAGCGAGGAGGTTGTGACCATCTGTAGAAGTAGCCATTTCCTGGACAGACACACATAAGTCATGCCTTCCCTGCTCCTTGGGGGGATGGGTGCTACCTGGGCTTGATGGGAGCATGAGTTAGAAGTACCTGAAACCTGAGGCTTTCTTTCTTCTTCGTCCAGAAGGCAAAAAAGTTAGAACCCTGGGAGAAACAGCCTCCGAGCTTTCAAAGGTGCTCAAGGAGGGCAATGAGTTGGATACATTCTATACAAATTGTAACTGTACAAAACCAGTTCAGTCTGGTACCTTTCCCTATACGGAGGCTACTGAGGCCTTGAGAGTGGTGCTACAGCAAGGTGTGATGGATGGTGACAGGCGACATGATCTAGACCTTCTAGGAGACAGGCCTCTGGCCTTTCTATGAGGGAGTTTCCAGATGAGACTAACCGAGCCTCCCAAACTGTAGGTGGCACCATTCCAGGACTTCTTCCTGAGCGTGTATACAATGTGACCAGCCGCCTCCAGCTCCTGCCAGGATGTCTTCTTCCTGAATTTGTACGCAGTGTGATCAGCCACCTCAAGCTCCTGCCAGTGGCCTTCCCTGTCATGATGAGTTGTACCCTAGAATACTGTGTCAAATATGCCTGCCTCTTGTAAGTTGTTTCTTGTCAAGTATTTGATGAGCAATGAAAACCATAATCTCTACAGACAGAAGTGAATCCTAGGCTTTTTTCTTTCACATGTTGTTTGACTGAACGCGTGTATGTGACTGAAGGATTGGGCCTTAATCTCTGAAACTGGGGTATCAAGGCTTTTCTTAGGGGGCTTTGGTGACAGATAAATAGGACAAAGTGTGATAAACTGATACCAAGTAAGTAGGCAGCATAATTATATTTTAAGTATTTCATATATAGAGAAGGCAAGGGAGGACAATACAGTATATTCCTACCCCAGGTTGATTAAGAAAACATGAATTCCTCCCTACATTCCTCACTCTGCCCCTTCCTTCTTAGGTAAACACAATTCCATATTGGCACATGAAACCCCGTGGGTAGCTTTCTGATTTACTAAAAGCAACATATAGCATATTGTTTGGATGTTTTAAAACATGACAATACATTCTTATATAACTGCATTTTGTGCTTCAAGAGTCTGTGTAGCTGGGTGGTGGTGGCATATGCCTTTAGCCCCAGCACTTGGGAGGCAGAGACAGGCGGGATCTCTGTGAGTTTGAGGCCTGCCTGGTCTACTGAGTGAGTTCCAGGAAGCCTCCAAAGCTACAAAGAAATTCTGTCTCGAAAACAAACACACAAACAAACAAACAAAAAGATTCTGTTTGTATTGGGCATAGTGGCTCATGTCCGTGATCCCAGCACTTGGGAGATGGAGGCAGGAGGGCCAGGAGTTCAAGGTTAGACTGGACTATATGAAATTGTGTCTGAAAAAAACCTCCAGATCAAAACAAAATTCTCTCTGTGAGGCTTATTCTTGCTGATCTCTGCAGCTCCAATTCATTTTTACTGTATTTTATAAGTTTATTTCATATGTACTGTATGAGAGTTTTGCCTACATGTGTATCTATACACCACATGCATGCAGTGCCTGAGGCAGCCAGAAGAGGGAGTCAGATCCTCTGTAACTGGAGTTACAAATGATTGTGAGCTGCGAACCAAACCTGGGTCCTCAGTAAGAGCAACAAGTGCTCTTAACCATTGAGCCATCCCTCCAGCCCCTCATTTTGTTTTTATAACTTACTTGCTTATTGTCAGTGATGAGTATATAGATGGCTTCAATCACAGAAGTTTTGTGTGCCTTGGTTTCCCTAATTTGTAAAATAAGATAAAAATGTCTGTGATACACCTGTATCCCTTACCACTACATTTTAAGAGCATTCTCCACGTTTATAAAATGCTCTTAAGTTTATTATCGCTATCATCACAAAACCGGGCTCTTTCTGAGGTTTTCTCCCCTCACCCTCAGTTCATTGCAAAATTTTATGCTGTGAAACCTCTAAGACTTTCTCACCAATAAGAAATGGCTTCCTCATTGCTGAAGTACCATTTGTAGAAGCTCAAACCCACTTGTTCTGCATTCTTATCTTTCAATAGGGATTCAGACTCCACCGTTGAAGTTTCTTGAGCCAAAGTCTTGCAAAAAAAAAAAAAAAAAGAATACAATTTCTAATTTTCCACCTGGAGACAAAGAATGGCTCTTGGCGATAACCTTGGCATTTTCTGTCTGTCAGTGTGGTTTTCTTCGTGAGTTGCTCTGCAATCAAGATTTCCATGGCTGAGGGAAAACTTCAGAAATGAGTGCTCTCATGGCTTTGCGCATTTCGCTGCAATTCTTTCCACATTTTGTTTACATAGCAGGGCTGCACTGTTAGTCCAGCTTCGTGCTCTGCATTTCCCACTTAACATTATAAAGTTCTCTTTCTCTCTGTGGACTTTTAGTGACCAAAATTTACCCAGAAAGGAAATCTGTGCCTCCAAGGACAATCGTTCTCAGAAACGAAGAAGAAACAACAACAACAAAACTAGCCTCTTTCATCCCAAGGTTATGGGAAGAATGTCTCTTTAGTGGCTTAGTCCATGTCTGGTAACTCTTTGTTAATTGCATCAGTGAACTTTGTGTAGCTTGGTGTCCATAAAGGTAATGGCTGGAGTTAAAAAAATGTACGAAATGGATCTGGAGGGATGGCTCAATACTTAGGAGGTCATCTCCCAGAGGATCTGGGTTTGGTTCCCGGAGCTGCCTGTCATTCCATCTCCAGAGGATCAGGCATTCTCCGCTGGTCTCCAAGGGTATTGCACACATGCGGATCTACATATACAGCACACACACACACACACAAATAAAACAATTAAAATGGATAAATGGTGTACTCACAAATAACACGTGTGTAAATATATATAGGTATATGTAGCTGTGTTCTTACACATACACACACACACAAATAAAACAATTAAAATGGATAAATGGTGTGCTCACAAATAACACGTGTGTAAATATATATAGGTATATGTAGCTGTGTTCTTACACACACACACACACACACACACACACACACACACACACACACACAAACACAGACCTGTCCCTTCAGAGAAAGTACTAATATCCCGTTTTTTTATTATCGTACAATACAGAAAAGACAACTTGACTTTACTCTGACCGGTTGTTATGCTCTTGGTCTCTGACTTCTCCCAAGGGGATGGGTAAGGGATTACTCACAGCAGCTTGTAGCCCAAGTTCATTTGTCGTTGAAGCTAATTATCCATTCCAGATGTTTCCCATCAGCGTAACAAGACAACCTGTAACAATCGCCCATTCTGTTTATGATGAGGCTAATTAGGATGAATTAAACAGACATGAGCTTACAATGTAACCAATTACAAGTAATTAAGGTACATGAGTTTTGTAGTATTCATAGAATAACCTCCACAGAAGCCTGAATCTAGTTGCCTCCGAGTTGGTGAATGTGTTCATAAGACAAGCCGAGATTGAGCCAAGAAATCTGCCATGAAAATTCTTTTTAATGACATGTCATCAGCTTTTAAAGTACATCCTGGGAAGTTGCTTAGGATTTTAATTCATGAAGTATGTAAAGGGATGAATTTCCCCAGGCAAGGTAGAACCAATCACGGAATCAATTAACTTTGAAGTTACAGAGTAGATTACATTTTGGAAGCGTTAAAATGCTTTTGGAGTCAGATGAAGAATAGAGAAAGCTATCCCCTACTTGACCCAAATATTCATATCTCTCTCTCTCTCTCTCTCTCTCTCTCTCTCTCTCTCTCTCTCTCTCTCTCTCTCTCTCTCTCTCTCTCTCTCTCTCTCTCTCTCTCTCTCTCCCCCTCCCTCTTCCGGCTCCAGAGGTGTAAAAGTTTCACCTGTGTAGCCACAGAAGGGAAAGGCAGGCAGGCAGGCAGACTGACAGAATCCATCCGTCTCTTGGCAGGCTGGTCCAGGAGAGACGATCACTTTTCTTGTGCTTGTCCTCAGAGCAACCCATCTTTGGGTTGCATCACTGAGAGGTGGTGGGAAGTACAGCCACTGTTTCTTTTGTAAAATTTCATATTCTTGTTATTAATTATTGTTGTTATTGGTTTTTCGAGACAGGGTTTCTCTGTGGCTTTGGAGGTTGTGCTGGAACTAGCTTTGTAGACTAGGCTGGTCTCAAACTCACAGAGATCTGCCTGCCTCTGCCTCCTGAGTGCTGGGATTAAAGATGTGTGCCACCGACCATGCCCATTTCATTGCTACTTTCTGATCCAGAGTGATTGGGATTGACTAAGGAGAACTAACATTGGGAGCTATTCTAACTGGGTATCTCACCTTCTGGAAATACTAGGTAGAGGACTGAGGAGATCCCCTGGTCTGTAAAGTGATTGGTGGATATAAGGAGTTGAGTTCACACCCAGAGACCGTGATAAAAGGCCAAGCATGGTGGTGCCTGCTTGGAACAACAGAGCCGGGGAGGTAGAGCCAGGCAGCTACTCCAGGCTCAATGGCTCCATCAAACCTTACCGGGCGAGTTCGAGGCCAGGGAGCAATTCTGTCTCAAAACAAGAAGTGTGCGTGGTGCCTAAAGAGCATCTGAGGTTGACATTAGTTCTTCAGAAGCATGCATACATGAACATGTATATGTGTGTGCACGCGCGTGCATGGGTGTACACCCCCCCACACCCTCCCCACACACCCTGGGTAGTTGTTGTAAGAGGCAAGGAGTGCACAGACAAGTGGCTGTGGAAATGGAGAGGAGGAAATGGATACCGGACGACTGTAAAGTAGGATTTGGCAGCCCGTGGCGGTGAGTCGTGTGGAACACATCTTACACAGCACTTCAAAGCCCATCGGCCTCATCTGGCATTCCCACCAGAGCACTGGCAGCCAGCTCTCCTCAGGCCTTGTGCAACTTTGCAGCCTTCACCTGAAGCACCCTGAGGCTAGGACCGTGAACTTCTCACTTCCTGCCCCGAGCTTCTGTGCCTGTGAGCTTCTGTTTGGCACTGGGGAGTTAATGCCCATAGGGCAACACTTGGCCCATTGTGGGAGAAGCCAGCAGACAATCGCTTCTTTCCCTTCACCTGGGCTGGGAGAGTGGGAGTGGAGGGGATCCTGAAGTACATGAGATGTTGTGGTTGATGGGAGCTCTCGGTGGCCCGCTCTATCTTGCTCTTGACCCTGGGATTTCATGGTTAACCCTGCTACTTCAGAGCAGTGATCTGACTGTACTTTAGGGGTAAACCAGGCAAAGGCCCATTTTTATGTGCTTATAACAGACCATCTGAGACTGGGTCAAACTATCTTTTAGTACCTGGTGGAGACTCCTTGGTTTTATGGATTGAGTGTAAAACCTGCCTCATAGACTCATGTGTTGGAATACTTGGTCCCCAGAGGCTGGCACCATTGTGGGAGTTGGTGAACTTAGGGGGTGGGGCATCACTGGAGGAAGTGGGTTTCTAGAGTTTTTTTAACTAGATACCAGCTCTATGCTCTCTGACTGGTGCTAGCATCCTGTGGCTGTTGACCCAGCTGCTTTTGCTGCCGTTCCTCTCCCGAAATGATGGAGGGTATCCTCTCAAACCATGAACCAAACAAACTCTCCTTCTTTATGTTGCTTCTCATCAGGCACTGGGTCTCACTGCTGAGAAAGTAGCCAAGACCCTTTGATACCACAGCCTGTGGATGCTGAAGTGCCTTAGATC